CTTCTCAACCTGTGATGCAATGAGCATCTTCTCTACCTTTGAACCAGAAGCTCCTGATTCGAGTCCGGCGCCAGGGCTTGTTCCCTGTGGAAGTAGCATTTGTAACTTAGAGTCTCAACCTACAAATCTTTCCAATGTGCCTGACAGTGGGAGAGCCTCCTGGTCACCAGGCACTGCAGAAAATCATTGCAGTCCTTGGAGTATAAGTATGGCCCAATTCTTGGAAACGAGGAGGAGAGAAAAGACAAACTGATGGTTGCGAAAAGAGCAGAATGTTGTCTGAGTCAGCAGTCTTCCCTCGAGCATCACCACTCATTACAGATTCATTCATGTTCTCTTGGTGCAGTCTTGCAGCATACAAATTTGTCACCACGATTCCTGACAAACATTACTCACTATGCTGCAGATTGGTGAGTGGGTGTGGACCAGTCTCGGGGAGTCCTGAGGATGTCGAATGTAAATGAAAAATCTTCTCATGTTGGATGTAGCCACTGGTGCAGTAAAATGAGACCAAAAATAGACTGATCATCCGTTCAGAATCCAAATTCCTTGATGCCCTCACTTAGGGAGATGGTTAATGTCTCTGATTGGCCTAGGTATCCAAAGGTGCAGGGTAATGCTTTATAGACCATAAGGCTGTAAGAAATAGGAACAGGAGTAGGCTGTTTAGCACCCCCCTGCTCAGCCTGCTGTGCCATTCACTAGGATCACTGCTGATCACAGGGGGTGGCACAGTGGCACAGTGGCAAGCACTGCTACCTCACAGCACATGGAACCCAGGTTCAATTCCACTCTCTGGTGACTGTGTGGAGATTGCACATCCTCCCTGTGTCTGCGTGGGTTTCCTCCGGGTGATTCAGTTTCCTCCCACCATCCAAAGATATGCAGATTAGGGTGGTTTGGCCTTGCTAGATTGCCCATAGTATCCAGTGATGTGTAGGTCAGGTGGATTAGCAGGGTTACAGGGATAATGCGGGTCTGAATGGGATGCTGTTCAGAGAGTTGGTGTGGACTTACTGGGCCAAAATGGCCAAATTCCATACAGTGGGAATTTTGTGATCTGATATTTCTCACATCTACTTTCCTGCCCTTTCCCCATAACCCTTGATTCCCCTATTGATCAAGAATCTATCTATCTCAGCCTTAAATATACAAGGACATAAATATATTATATATATTATACATATATATATACATACAAATATAAACATATATATATATTTTATTATTCTTGGATGAGGTGTTGGCTGCCCTACATACTTTATAGTAAGAATAATTTTAAAAAATACAAATATATCCATCTCAGTTTTAAAAGCTTGAAATGTAAGATACGGATGATTCGGATGTATATGGATTTCTCCAGAACTAGAGACTGTGGTATGTAAAAATCTTGAGAGAAAGTTAAGTATGAAGAATGCCATGTAATTATGGAAAGTCAGCAACAACCGTAAGAACTGACCCTGATGGTCAAGAAAAGCAAGCAGAGCCTTTTTTGGGAAGATTCCTAGATTTTTCCGCTGCCTCCCTTCCCGTTTTCCAACATGATTGACCTGTCTGTAAGATATGCCCACTTGTGTATTGTGCTGCCAGTGTAACTAGTTTCTCTGTAGCTATCCTGAATCTCTTGCCATAGTTTAAACATATCGATCAGATCTGTCCTTGGTGGTTTCAAAGCCAGGTATTTCTGATCTGTCCTTGCCATTTCATGCTCTAAGTTGTACTGCTGAGTCTGCTTAAGTAGTTGTTGTCCAATTGTTGAAGACAAAGCTGTCGAAATCTCTCAACTTGCACTTATCATAACAAGCGTAGGAAAGCTACATTTCAAAGTGAACACCAATCTAGACTGCATGAGAAATGGGTACTGATTGGCTGATGTGTTGGCTCTGATTGGTCAAGGTGTTGCAATGGAGAATCCACCAGGCAACTATTGCCAACTCAAGCTTCTGTTTAATTTTTTAAAAAGTTGCAATGCTCGGACAAGTTCCTTTTGGCTGATAGCAAGAACTGCGGAGGCTAGAGTCAGAGTCAATACAGCAAGAAGCTGGAGGAACACAGCAGGTCAGGCAGTATTAGAGGAGCAGGAAAGTTGACGTTTCGGGTCGGGACCCTTCTTCATCGACTTTCCTGCTCCTCTGATGCTGCCTGACCTGCTGTGTTCCTCCGGCTCCACACTGTATTGACTTCCTTTTGGCTGAAGAGGCTAGGTCGCTGTGTGTGAAGATATATAGCTTCCAGTAAGTGTCAGAGTACCACAAAACAAGTCCAAATCAATCTTAAATTGATTATTAGTGCACTTCTTAGCACACGAGTAACTCACCTCCTGATCCCTCCCAAAGCCTGTCCACCATCTACAAGGCGCAAGTCAGGAGTGTGATGGAATACTCCCCACTTGCCTGGATGTGTGTAGCTCCAACAACACTCAAGAAGCTTGATACTACCCAGGACAAAGCAGCTGCTTGATTGGCACCACATCCACAAATATTCACTACCTTCACCACTGACGCTCAGTAGCAGCAGTGTGTACTGTCTACAAGATGCACTGCAGAAATTCATTAAGGCTCGTCAGACAGCACCTTCCAAACCCACAACCACTATCATTTAGAAGGACAGGGGCGGCAGATACATGACAAAAGCACCACCTGCAAGTTCCCTTCACTCACATTCCAGACTTGGAAGTATATCACTGTTCCTTCAGCATCGTTGGGTCAAAATCCTAGATTTCCCATCCTGCAAATGAACTGCAGCGGTTAAAGAAGGCACCTCACCACCACCTTCCCAGGGGCAACTAAGGATGGGCAATAAATGACAGGGTCAGCTAGTGATGCCCACATCCCATGAATAAACTGAAACAAAAAACGCTCACAACAGTTTAGCAAGTGCTATGCAATCCTGGAATAATAGTGTAATCAATGTCTAAACTCACTTTAGCTAATTCCAAGAGATTTTCATCTGGTGTGGACTCAAAGCAGGTTCTTTGAGAAAAAGGATATTTTGTTTTATCTTTGCTTATCTCGACTCTAATTTCTCTCCCTGATCAAGGAGCTCCCCACCCACATCCAGGACACCACCCACGCCCTCCACCTCTTCCAAAACTTCCAATTCCCTGGCCCCAACGCCTCATCTTTACCATGGACGTCCAGTCCCTATACACCTGCATTCCCCACGCAGATGGCCTAAAAGCCCTCCGCTTCTTCCTGTCCCGCAGGCCCAACCAGTCTCCCTCCACCAACACCCTTGTCCGCCTAACTGAACTCGTCCTCACCCTTAACAACTTCTCCTTCAACTCCTCTAACTTCCTACAGGCAAAGGGGGTGGCCATGGGCACCCCCATGGGCCCAAGCTATGCCTGCCTCTTTGTAGGTTATGTGGAACGATCCCTCTTCCGTACCTACACCGGCACTATCCCCCACCTCTTCCTCCGTTACATTGATGACTGTATCGGCGCTGCCTCATGCTCCCACGAGGAGCTCGAACAGTTCATCCACTTCACCAACACCTTCCACCCCAACCTTAAGTTCACCTGGACCATCTCTGATACCTCTCTCTCCTTCCTGGACTTCTCTGTTTCCATCTCTGGCAACCGCCTCAAAACTGATATCTATTTCAAGCCCACCGACTCCCGCAGCTACCTAGAATACACCTCCTCCCACCCACCTTCCTGCAAGAATGCAATCCCCTATTCCCAATTCTTCTGCCTCTGCCGCATCTGCTCCCAAGATGAGGCATTCCACTCCTGAGCATGCCAGATGTCCTCGTTTTTCAAGGACTGCAACTTCCCTCCTTCAGTGGTCGAAAACACTCTTGACTGCATCTTTTGCGTTTCCCACACCTCTGGCCTCACATCCCCTCCCCACAACAAAAACAAAGACAGAATTCCCCTTGTCCTCACGTATCACCCCATCAACCTCCGGATGCAACGCATCATTCTCCGCCACTTCCGCCCCTGCAATCTGACCCCACAACCAAGGATATATTTCCCTCCCGACCCTTATCTGCCTTCCATAGGGACCGCTCTCTCTGCGACTCCTTCATCCGCTCCACATTCCCCACTGGCCCCACCACCCCTGGAACCTTTCCCTGCAACCGCAGGAGGTGCTACACCTGCCCCTACACCTCTCCCCTCACCTCCATCCAAGGAACCAAAAAAACCTTCCACATCGGACAGAGGTTCACCTGCACATCTGCTAATGTGGTCTATTGCATCCGCTGCTCCCGATGTGGCCTCCTGTATATCGGTGAGACCAAGCGGAGGATCGGAGACCGCTTTGTAGAGCACCTGCGCTCTGTTCACAACAAATGACAACACCTTCCAATCACAAACTATTTCAACTCCCCCTCCCACTCCCTGGGTGACACGTCCATCCTGGGCTTCCTCCAGTGTCACAACGATGCCACCCGGAAACTGGAGGAGCAGCACCTCATGTTCCGCCTTGGGATCCTACAACCCAATGGTCTCAATGTGGACTTTACTAGTTTCCCCGGGCTCATCCCAAGACCAGCCCTCCGTCTCATCCCCGCCTCCTTGACCTATCCGTCTTCTCTCCCACCTATCCACTCCTCCCACCTCACTGACCAAACCCCACCACTACCTACCTGCACTCACCTATCACCATCCCACCTACCTTCCCCAGCCCCACCCGTCCTCTCTCTATTTATTTCAGAGCTCCCTTCCCCCTCCCCCATTTCTGAAGAAGGGTCCAGACCCGAAATGTCAGCTTTCCTGCTCCTCTGATGCTGCTTGGCCTGCTGTGTTCCTCCAGCTGCACACTGTGTTATCTCTATTTTATTTTCAAGCCCACTTTGCCGCATACTACCTGGTGCTCTTGTATTGTGTGTATATTTACGTTGATGTAAACAATGATGATATGTGTGATGCTGCGCGCTCCTTTGCATTAAATTGTGCCCCAGGTTGAGTGAAGCAAAGTGCTCAGCGATATTGTGTAACTGCAAGAGTGGCTGACTGTTTGGGGCTGACGGTTTGTCCCCTTCGTTTCTCACAGATACTGCATAAAACAAGAAGCTGAGGAGGTCGTCCCTGAGACAGCTGTACCATTGTTTGGCCGAATGCTCAGTAACATGGAATCGCAGAAGGACATTACAACGTGGGAATCCTTCCGAGCTAAGACCAAGCCTTTCCTGCAGAATTTAAAGAAACGCAAAATATCCAGCAAGAGGAAAGAAGGGAAGAAGCAGCACTTTTTGGATCAGCGGATGAGTGTGTCGGAGCCGGACATGTTGCAAGTGGGCAAGACCTACAGCGAGAGCTGCTCCCGGGTAATAGTCAAGACCTGTGCTGTCAATTACTTCAGCAACCCCTCCACCCCAGTTAAGAAACTGGATCAGATCGAGCCTCCGCAAACTTCAGTCTCGCCGGGCCAGGCACAGAAACTGGAGGACTCCTGCCCTGAAAAGGAAGCTTGTACACTCACTACATTATCCCTGTTAGCCAAGGAATCCTGCAGCAACAGTGCTGAAGACCTGGTGGAACGCAGCTTCTATCTCAGAGCGGATGACAGATATGCGGTAGGTGATTACTCGGGACAACTAAAAGGAAGTGGTGGGGCAGGTTTTTTCCCTTTTGGTGGATGTCCAACCGAGGTACGTTTGGCACTTGCCCTGTGAAAGAGGCACAGAGCGGGAAGCATAAAATACCTGCTAAGATCAACAGTTTGAAACGAAGCAATCGGCAGGCACTTAGCCAAGGGTGTAATGTAAGCCAGAGAGTACTACACAAGGCGTGAGTCAGACCACATGTGGAATACTGTGAACAGGTTTGGTCCCCTTATCTAAGGAAAGATAGACTGGCATTTGAGGCAGTACAGAGAAGGTTCACTAGGTTGATCCCAGGCATGGAAAGATTGTCTTACGAAGAGTGGTTGAGTAGGTTGGGCTTGTGTTCATTGGAGTTTCGAAGAATGAGAGGAGACCTTACTGAAACATTTATGATTATCAAAGAGTGTGACGAGGTAGATGTGAAAAGGTTGTTTCCCCTTTATGAGAGAGTGTAGGACCAGAGGGCATAACCTTAGATTAAGGGGTCACCCATTTAAGACAGAGATGAGAAGGAATTTTTTTTCTTGGGGTAGAGTCTGTGGAATTCTTTACTATAGAGGTCTGTTAAGGCTGGGTCATTTAGTATATTCAAGGCTGAGATAGACAGATTTTTAACATGTTTTTCTAATCAATCTGTTTTGAAATGTTATTACCCACCTCCGGAGCAGGTGGGACTTGAACTCAGGCCTCCCAGGCCAGGAGACAGTAGTAAGGAAACTCAGGGTTACAGAGAAAAGGCAGAAAGTAGGGTTGAGGATTATGAGATCAGCTATGATCTCATTGAATGGTGGAGCAGATTCGATGGGCTGAATGGCCTTTTCTACTTCTGTGGCTTTATGATCTTACATATGGCCTCACATAGACTAGTATAAAAATTTCCTCCAAATGGGAGTCTCAAACAGGGGCCAATACTCCAAATCCATCTTTCCCAAGGAAAGGCTTTTGGAAATCTGTCATTTTAACTCCCACCCACCCAAAAAAAGAGAGGTTAGATCAATTCAAAATTTCAAAACTGCCATTAGTTAAGATCTTTGGTTGAGAGTCAAGGGTTATAGAGTCATACAGAAAAGAAGAGATCCTTTGGCCCATTGAGTCTGCACCAACCTGTCTACATTAAGCCCACTTTCCAGCACCTGGCTTGGAGCCTTGAATGTTATGACATTTCAAGTGCTTATCCTTGTACTTTTTAAAGGCGCCAGCATGAAGGTGGCCAGAATGAGTTGACTGATCCTGATCTTGTGAAACAGCTTGAAGGGCTCTAAGCCCATTTTGATGAGAGGTCACTGACCTGAAGCATCCATCCTGCTTCTCTCTCTCTGCGAATGAGACTGGACTGTCCATTTTCACCATTTTCTGTGTTTTGTTTTGCCTCATGTTTCCAATGGCCACAATACTTTTGATTTTGTAGCTTAAGGGGCTGAATAGCATTTTACTAGTTCTTGTGTTGCTGTAAAGACTGAGTCTTGCTGTTAACTCACAGGAGGAATGCTGTATAAATATGTAGTAACTCGACTATTCTGTTTTGGAGTCAAGTAATTGAGTGCTGGGTGAATGCTTTGGAACTGAAAGTCTGTTTTGACACAAATGAGGTCTCTACAACAATCTGTGGTTTATGGTACATGGATTGAAAACTCCGAGCATGTAAATCAGCTATTACTGTGGCAAATTAAAAGTTTTGTAAAAACTGAACTCTTGGTGTTGAAGAAACAACTAGTAACAGGATTCATATTTCAATGAGAAATTCATGGGCTGGCGAGTGTGTTAACTGTTATCACTGTAGAGGGTTTTGTTTTGAGTGGGTGTGTGTGATTACTGTTAATTTATTGCCTTGTTGACTGTTTTTGTAAGCAGAATGTGTCAAAATATAAAAATCACTTTTAAATCGCATGACCCCAGATTAAGGATCCTGACCTAGATTCTCTCAATTGGTCATTTACAGATTGATTAGAATTGGTACAAATGCTGTCTCTATCAGACTGCAAAGAGGTTTTGTTTTAATGCACAAAGCATTTATTCTTTGCAATACTCATATGAATCTGAAGTATCGTTGTTCATTGGGTGATTCTATTTTGGAAGGGGACAAAATATTTTCTTTTTGAGGGGTTTGTTTTCAGGAGCTCATTTTCATTCTCACCAATTTATAATGCAATACAGCCACTCAGTACTGTCTGTATTCGTATTGACATGTGGCGTTTCAACTCACAAAGAAGCAGAACCAGAAGAATTTACCAATATTCTCAATTGTAAACCCTCCATCAAAATTAAAGCCACAGCATTCAAGGAAAGCAATAATTTCTTAGGCGTCACCGTATTTAAATTGGCACAAGACAACAGGCTTAAGTTAGAAATAAAAGTTTATTTCAAAATAACTGATACACACTTCAATACACAAGAAGCCATCACTCAAAACACACCTTCCATATACTAGAGAAGTTGCAGTTCATGCATTTCCATCACAAATGCCCGAAGCTAAAAGATTTTAACCAGACAGTTGCTACCCTTTCACTGCATCTCAGATGTAAATTGAATAATTGACAGTGCCATTACAATAGACTATCCCACATTTATTTCCCCCTCATCTAGTAGCTCATGAGCAAATGCACCCTTATACTAGAGATTCCACATTTTTTTGTCTGCAATTCATTACCTCTAGCTTTCCTGGCTCCTAGATAGCAGAGTGTTTCTTGGTTGGCAGGTTTTAGACAGTTCTTGCTCCTTCACCATCACCCTTCTCCTACCATCACAGTTGGCCTCTTGCCCTCATGTCTCATGCAGACTCACCTCACCCCCACCCTACCCTGAAAGCCCCCACACATTGACAGATGGAATTTCCGACAGTCAGCTCCCTAGTTTCATCCCCGCTCCAAGGCCTCCCAGGATCCACTCCCCGGAAAAGGCCTTCCCTGTTGATTCACTCACTTGCTTTCCTTTCTTTCACCCTCTTTCTTAACTTAACCAGCTCGCTACTGCTCCAGTCACAGGCTGGGTCTCTCTTTCTCACCCGTGAGTCTGAAATGCTGGAGAAAAATGAGTGGAGCAGCTCCTCAGAAATTCTGCCTATCCTACTCGCAAGGGTAACTTTTGTAATTGTGCCAGCCCACAAGGTCATTCCAGCACAGGAGGAGGCTATCTGGCCTCTCGAGTCTCCTGTGCCTTGAGGCATTCAAAAAGGCTTTGGACAATTGTTTGGATAAAAGTAACCCGTGAGGTGTTAGGATAAAACAGGAGGTTGGTACTGGGTATCGATGCTTATTTAATAGTTCAGGCTGAATGGCCTCTTTCTGCTGGTTAACACTTCTGTGATCCTGGGCCCGTGTCCTCTGTGGAGTATCTGAGATCAGGAAGGAGATTGGATGCTAGGTTGGCCAAAACTGCACTGATCAGAAGTGGACGCCATTTTCAAGATCAGTGCCTGTCCTGCTATTGCCACATCCAGGACGGCAAATTGCGAATACGTCATTCTTAAAAAAAAAGTCATTCATGGGATGTGGGCATCACTGGCTAAGCTAACGTTTATTGCCCATGCCTAATTGCCCAGAGGATATTTAAGAGTTGAGCATGTTATTGTGGGTTGGCATTACCTCTAGGCCAGATTGGGTAAGGGTGACAGGTTTCCTTCCCTAAAGTGAACCTGATGGGTTTTTACTACAATCGACTGTGGTGATCATTGAATTAGCTCTTCACTCCAGGTTTTCTGTTGTGATGGGATTTGAACCATCTCCCCAGATCATCAGCTTCCCGTTCTGCATTCTAGCCAAGTGACAGTACCTTAAAGTTTGTGTCACACGTAGACAGGGTGGTGAAGAAGGTTTTTAGCACGCTTGCCTTCATTGCTCTGACCTTCAACTATAGTGGCTGGAACGGCATGTTGAGGTTGTACAGGACATTGGTGAGGCCTCTCCTGGAGTACTGTGTGCAGCTCTGGTCGCCCTGTTATAGGAAGGATACTATTAAGCTGGAGAGAGTTCAGAAGAGATTTACCAGGATGGTGCTGGGAATGGAGGGTTTGAGTTGTAAGGAGAGGTTGGATAGGATGGGACTTTTCTCCCTGGAATGCAGGAGGCTGAGGGGTGACCTTATAGAGGTTTATAAAATCATGAGGTGCATGGATAGGGTGAATAGCAGGTGTCTTTTCCCCAGGGTTGGGGATTTCGAGGCTAGGGGGCATACTTTTAAGGTTAGAGGAGAAAGATTTAAAAAAAAACACGAGGGGTGGATGTGGGTAAAGTTACAATGTTTAAAAGTCATTTGGATAAGTATGTGAATAAGAAATGTTTGCGGGGGGTTATAGACCAAGTGCAGGCAGGTGGGACTAGGTTAGTTTGGGGGTCATGGTTGGCATTGACTGGTTGGACTGCAGGGTCTGTTCTGTACTGTGTGATCCCTCCCCACAGCTGGGTAACAGATGCTGACAACAGTAACATACTGGAGATCACAGCAGGTTAGACAGCATCCATGGAGAGAGAGCAAGCTAGCATTTCGAGTCTAGATGACTACAGATTCCAGCATCTGCAGTAATTTGCTCCTACTTTGGGTAACAGACAGTGTTGGTCCAGCCTGATTGAACTCAGCAAACTCCAGCTGCCTCCGGGCTGGGAGGTCCTCAAAGAGGCTCAGCACCTGTCTCAGGTGTGGACACTGAATTCCTCTTTTTCTTCTTTCCTAAGTGAAGGTCTCGAAATGTGAGCCTAATTTCTGCTCAATGTTTTTAGGACTTAGTAGATTGGTTTGTACCTAAACAATAGACTTTGCTTGGTTTACCATAACATTTAACAAATGAAATCACTTGAGAATGATTTGTAACCTGCCAGCTATGGATCACCACAGTGCAGGATCACTGTCATTATCATAGAATCCCTACAGTATGGAAATAGGCCCTTCATCCCAACAAGTCCACACTGACCCTCAGAGCATCCCACCCACGCCCATCCCCCTATAACCCACCTAATCTACACATCCCTGAACACTAT